TAACACTGAGCTATACCCCAGGCCCCATTTTACTGCATCTTATAGCATTGAAAATCTGTTACAATTTCCAACACTGAACGGCAATTTTGGCATTCTGGTCAATCCGCTTCATCCCTACTAAAACCTTCATTATATTTTTGGACCTAGTTCTCACATTGGATTGTTCCTTTTGGTCACATGCTCACAACATTTCAACTAGTCAAAAACATACTCACACTGCTGTTTTCTTTTCTTTCTTTCTTTCAAGTATAAACAAGGGGCCAGGGAGATAGCTCAGTAGAATAAGTGTTTGCCTGGCAAGCACAAGGGCCTGAGTTCAATCCCTGGTTCTGCAAAAATAAAGAAGTAAATAAATAAAAATAAAGTATAAACAGGGTCTCACCACAGATTGGACTCAATAGTGATCCTCCTGTTTTCAGCCTCCCAGGCGCTGGGATTACAGGTGCGCACCACCAAGCCCAGTCTCAATCACTATCTCAGCATGCCCCAGGGGCAGAGCCTGCACAGCACATCAGGGATTAAATCTGCAGGCATGTTAATCTGCTGAGCTATCTGACTGACCCTATACTGCTCTTTTCTTTGTCATCTGAGGATTTGTAATCCCAGCCACTCAGGAGGTTGAGACACAACTTTGAGTTCTTAGTGCACAGTTTATTTATTTATTTATGTTTGTCTTTTTGACATAGGGTCTTGCTGTGCAGTTCAGGCAGGATGGCCTTGAGCTCACTTTGTAGTCTAGGCTGGTCTCAAACTCCATCATCAATTTAATGAGCAAATCCCTGGCTCAAAATAAAAAGAGCTGGGGATGTAATTCAGTGTGGGTGGGGTCCTGAGTTCAATCCCACAAAAAAACAATCCACAAGTGAAGATGCAAACAAACAAACCTAAACCCAAACTCGACACTGCTTTCCTGGTGACCACATAACCTAAGAAAGCAGATGTCAGACTTCAGGCTGCATAGTGACAAACAGCACCCTTCCACAGAGGCCTTTCTGGGACTCGCTTTTGCTTTCCAGTTACCCTTAGCAGAGCTTGGTGTGGCTGGGTGGATGCTGCCACCTGCGGGGAGAGCTGGGCCGCACTGCACCTTGCAGCTGCGAGCAAACAGCGGGTTAAGCCATGAGTGCTGCAGCAGAAGGGGTTCCACACCACGTCTGAGCTGGGCTGAATTCCATTTCCCCCCCCACATCCCATTCTCCTTCCGTCCCCCACACATCTCATCCTTGTTCCCTGACTAGTGTACAGCATCTCGCAGTCTTCAGGAATAGCCAGCACAGATCTCTTCCCTAAGTAAGCTGTAGCCTGAGGTTACCCACTTCTGGGCTGCAGCTGGCCCAAAGCACCTGGGGTCCCCCAGGCAGGTGAGAGGGGCCTCTGCTGGCTCTCCCTATCCTTCTGTAAACTGATGAGGGCAGGCTATTCTTTGAATTGTCTGAATTTTACGGTTACAATTTCCTAAAGATGAAGGGGTTTTTCTGGTGGGATGAGGAGGAGGTAGGTTTCTGTCTTTGGAGGACTCTATACCAACGCCCAGAGATTCAGGGAGTGTCAGGGGGCAGATCAAGCACCACACCAGTGGTTGTCACTTTTAACCACCCC